ACGTTTGTTTTCACGTTTCCTCCTGCATCTCGCATATTTCTGAACGACGTTCGCGTTTGGTGAGTACTTCATTTCGATATGGCTCCAACTCGGGCTAATTTTTTTTACAGACCTCAGCTTATTTTTGTAATCGCCGGGCGATTCGTTCACGCATCTCAAATGTCTTCCTCAGCCGTTCCCCACGTTATCGCCTTCATCACCCGGCCTTTACTCGCCGCGTTTGCTCCTGCTTCCGTCACGTCGGCCCAGTTAATTCTTAACGCGTCGCTGGCATCAAATGCTACCTTCACCCTCACATCAACGACCGCGCCTCCCCCATCCATTCAGGCCGCATCCATCGGGTCTGGCATCTCCTGGGCATCGTGGTTCAACACCCTGGGTGGTGGACGCGATATCCTGCTGTTTTACGGTCCCGGATACCTCAAAGTTCGGATCGGAAATGCCCAGGTTATGGATGTATGGAGCGAGGAGTCGCAGGGCAGCGTCGTTCCTATATCGGGCATCCAGAAGGCACCGGCCGTACAACAGTCCACTGGTGCCCGCCTCCGCAGCGCGCTCCTCTCTGCTCGCATCCGTAGCATGAAGCGCGCGGAACAGCAGGCGGAACCCATCCACATCCCAAGCCTCCTCGCCCCCGTCTTCGACTCCGACTCCGGCTCCGACTCGTCCTATGATGCCGGTTCTGAATCGGATCATTCGGACTCGGACTGCAGCTCGTCGACGTCGTCTAGGTTCACCTCCTACTCGTCGGAGTCGCTCACGTCCGCTGCGACCTCGCCGCCCGTTACACCAGTCAAGGCCGCGTCTCTCGCACTTCCCGTTGCGCCCAGCTACGTCGCTCTCCCTCGGCGGTCGCAAACCTCATACCGCGCGTCAAAGATCACGCGCATCCCCGTCGACCACATGAAGAAGGACACAACGGCGTACATCTACCAGGGTGGCGTCACTCGCGTCATGACTGGCGGCGTCCTCCTTGGCCCGCGCCCTGCCGCGCATGTCATCAGCTTCACGCGCTCCTAATTTCTTGCACGAACCTTCATGCTCGCCTTCTCGAAACTGTATCGTCACTTTTGTCTTGTAGCTCACATGTACTTTTTTTTTTTTTCATTTGTAGTAGTAACATTTTTTTTTGTGAAAGAACGACCTCGTCGATTCCCGTCGACCACAGACAGCCATGGCCAGGATTCTCTTCTTGCAGATCACAGCTAGCACCATCAAAACCAGCGCTGATTAGCGCTGAATTGGGCGTCAAACTGTTTGACTCGACTCGGAAAGCTGTGTTTACTCATTCCACCTTCTAGGCTTTCCACTCGGCCGTTGGGCACACTGTACTGGGTGACTCATAATTTCTGGAACTTCAAGTTGTACTTTCATCTCAGCCATCTTACCAAGTCTGAAACCGCCACACGTGTATACACTCGAGGGAAATGGCCCAGATGAACTATATTCAGGTGAGTTGGGCGACCTCATGAACTTGCATCACTCTTCTGATCTCAGATCTGGCCGATTCAGCTTGAGAAGCTAGGCAAGTATCTGATCTTGGTCGCCAGGCGCCTACTAAGTAATGTTTGCAATAGGGGAGGGCACCTACGCGACAGTGTTTAAAGTCAGCCATTCCACATCTGACTTGGATTGAGACAACTCACGGCGCTCCTTGATACAAGGGACGGTCCAAGACCACAAATGAGATTGTCGCACTGAAAGAAATTCACCTTGACGCGGAGGAAGGAACACCATCCACAGCCATCCGCGAAATATCTCTGCTCAAGGAGCTTAAACATGTCAATATCCTCCGTCTTCATGATGTTATCCACACGGAAACAAAACTCATCCTGGTCTCCGAATTTTGCGAACAAGACTTGAAGAGATATATGGATCAGCATGGGGATCGAGGCGCTCTCGATTCTGGAACTGTTCGGAGTTTCATGTTCCAGCTTCTGAAAGGGACCAATTTCTGCCACGAAAATCAGGTCTTGCACCGAGATCTGAAGCCGCAGAACTTGCTTATCAACCGCAAAATGGAGCTTAAGCTTGGGGATTTTGGTCTGGCTCGAGCATTCGGTGTGCCCGTGAACACATTTTCCAATGAGGTCGGTTTCGTCCAGCAGCATTCAGTCTGGTTTGTTGATTGTTTCTGAAGGTTGTCACGTTATGGTATCGAGCGCCCGACGTCCTGCTCGGTTCTCGGACCTACAGCACCTCAATAGACTTGTGGTCCTGTGGCTGCATCTTGGCCGAGATGATCTCCGGGATGCCTCTTTTTAGAGGGAAGGATAACAACGACCAGCTTCTGCATATTATGAAGATACTGGGCACACCTTCACACCAGCAGTTTGCAAAAATGCTCAAGGACTCGGTATGCTGGAAATTCTTCTTCTGGACTTTGTCGCTCACCTTCTCTCCCCAGCCAGAAATCGTTCTGAAAGACTTCCCACCTCTTCCCAAGATGAACCTCACACAGGTCCTACCTAAAGCTTCACCCGCAGGCAAGTTCGGCTTTCAGACTCTATAGCTCTATGATAGCTGATCATACATTCATTTAGCTTTGGATCTCCTTGAACGGTTACTGAAATTCGATCCCTCGGAGCGGATTTCAGCTGCGGATGCTCTATCGCATCCCTACTTCACCGCAACGACAAACACCGCGCCCAATCCATCACCGGGATTTATGCCGCCGCCTATTTTCAACTTCCCCCATCCCAATCCGAGTCGGCATCAACAACCCCAACACCAACAGCATCCCAATGTTCCGCAATCCCTGAGTAACCAGCAACCACACCAGCAGTATGGCATCCCGGTCCCGTCCACATTCGTTCCCAGGCCGCCAATGCAAGGGCAGGCGCAGACACATGCGGCACAGACAACGGCATATTATAACAATAATATGTCGATCAATCCACAGCCGCAGTACGGACATGCCAGTGCATATGGTCATCAAGGCATGTGAATACGTTTCTGTATTTATTTTCCCCTTCTTTTTCTTTTTTGTACTTGTTTTGCCTTTTCCAACTATCAGTCGCTTTAGCCCCAATCTCCTCGTGGTTTTCCTTCACATATTCCTCCGTGTCCTCGCCAGCCTTTTTTGCGCCAAATCTTCGCACTTGGGCTCAGCCCGACCTACATTGTCAAAAGAAATGGAATACATAGCAGGCGTCAAGGACACACAAGGGAAAAGGAAGAAGATAAGATAAGATAATCATATTGCGAGCCCTCCATCATATCAACCCGATTCCCACCTCGCCGATTCTCTATATCACTAGGCGCTTGCTGCCGCAAGCATGCACCTCACTGACTGGATCGCTATCCCCTCACGCCACACCCACAGTCCCGAGCACGAAACAATGACAATATATTGCAGATAAAATGAAAGAAAATCGAGCGCACAATTCAAGCAGTAGCAACCTCGCCTTCCGAGCTTTTCTCTCCCAGCTTGACCTTCTTCGCCGGACTATTCCCTTCCGACCCGGTCTCGCGCTCGCGTCTTTTACTTGGTTTGGGATGAGTCCGAGAACCCAAGAAAAGTAAGCACACACACCGTTCCCAACGTCTTTTTCCTTGTCCTCGGGCGCATTGTGGTTGATCTTGTTTCCCCCGAAAGCTGACGGGGCCTTGTCCAATGCGCCAGCCGGTTTCCAACCGGCCACAGTCGTGTTCAACGCGGCGGGGCCGACAGCCTGAACCACGTTGATCGCAGCACAAAACGCTGGGCACCGAGTGCTTATGTCGTGTTGTCGACGTGCAAGGGTCGGCAGAAAGTCAGGTTACTCAGAGGATCTGACAAGAGGTTATTTACCACACTTCCAAGCACTGACCTAGCTACAGAGGATGTGTAGCTAAATAAATTAACGGAGAGAACCCAGCAGCGTAAGTAATATGCGGGGTTTGATATCGAAGTAGAATGGCATACTGCAATGAAACATGCGAATAAAGGGAAATGTGCAGTAGACGGCGCGTGCAAAAAGAGCGGGCAGTCGGAGGATGGAGCAGTTTCGTTTCGCGGGTAATGATCGGTATCTTATCGGTGGTTGCAGTTGTTTGTTTTTTGCACAGGGGTAGCAAGAGAGCAGTCCGTGGTCTCCCAGTGTTTGGTTGTGTGTCGGCCGCAATCTTATCTGGAACATTTGGGTTTATTTGTTTTTTGCACAGGGGGTTGAAAGAGGCGTTGAGTTTCCAGGTCGTGGGACCTAACTTTCAGTGAGGTGACTTTAAACGTCCCTTTGTCCTTCTCCGCCTCCACCGATAATGACTGAGTCTTATCCGCTGTGAACCTGCTGCTTCAACTTCTTTCATCTCGATTCTCTGAAGTCTGCCCTCAGCAGCAGCCTGAGGGGCCCTCGAATCTGCACGGAAACCGCAACACACCTCTTTGTGCCCATATCAACCCTCACAAAAACCTGGATAATCGACGCGGACAAAAATGCCCTCAGGTCAATGGCAACCAAGCAAATCCACAGGATATTTTCGATGCGACGCCCTGCAGGCTGTACTATGCCCAGTGAGTACATTTTTCACGCTCTTGCTTCTTCATCTCTTTTTTTTTCTTTCCTTTTCGTTTGTTTTGTTTTCCATGTCTTCCTCATTTGAGTTCGTCCAACCTGTATTCGACGCTCTCCGACACAACCGAGAGAGCGGACAGTTGACATGTCAACCCGTCGAGCCGAAAGGCCGGACGTGCGATTTTGTGGCGAGGTTGCATGCGCGACGCAGGATATCTACACGTTGTACGCGACCCGCAAGCCAACACTGCGGATTGCTGTAGGGTAATGGAATTTTTAAATTGAACTTCGTAAGCAAAATAATTTATTCGAATAGCAAGAGAGTCAATGTGATCAAAAACACTGGCCTATAAATGAAACGCACAAGACCTACCCAAAAAATTGCCAGTGTGTGTGTGTTTTAGGAAACGCAGCCATTGTCGGGGAGAGCGACACAACTGTAGTTCCCGCGCGGCAACGTCCAACTTCTTGTGTCAGCGGCAGCGGCCGAGGCCCGGCTCCCTGTGCCCCCACAGGGGAATCGAACCCCCGACCTCTGTCTGACGCAATTAAGTGGGGACAGATGATCTAACCGTTAATCCATAGGTGCACTGGAGAATGTCTCTACAGTTGAGAACACAGCCCTGGACAAGTGAATGTATGTGAGCGATGCACCTGCAATGTACCTACTGGAGTAGATCACGCAATGTATGTTGCATGTTTTCCATCAAAGAGAAATCCAACAGTATTCAAGAAAGGATGAAGATTCAAGCAAGATTTGACGTCTGACGGAGACGAAATCAGACTGACAATCAATAGTTCCCATAAGGGAAACACGATTCCCAGAAAGGAAAACGGCGTCTTACGCCAGTGGCAGTGCAACCGAAATCACGAGCAATAAAAGGACCCCTGCCCGCTCGTCGTTCTTTCTTTCTACTGCCATGAACGTAGTCAAAGTTGCCATTGCAGATGAATTGCGCAACCCTGGTTTTATGGTTCCTCCTCCACCCGTTCTTCCTCAGTACGACTGGCTACCTCTGCTCCCCGATGGGCCCGATCCCAAACCGCCAACGGTAGACGATGATGACTTCGCCGCGATTCCGACCTCGCCTCCGCTAGCCACTGCACCGCAGCGATATCATACCGTTGGGTTGGGCCTGTTCCGTTTCGCGACCATTATGGCTATGGAAGGCGAGCTGCCACGCCAACCAGCAGACTTTGCAAAGGTGCATAGATTTCATACCATTTGCCATCTCGCTCAACTCGCTTAGTGGGTCGGGACGGTCGTCGAGGCAAACACCACTCTCAAAGGTCTGCTGGCGAAAAGCGACAAGAGAACAGTGGAAAATCGTGTTGGCCAGGTCGCGGAAGGTTTCTATGTCTTTGTTGCTGCCATCTGGTACGCGACAGGAAAGAATAAAGGCCCTACGCTCGACTGGTTGGCTTCGCTGTTGGAACCCCTAGTGAAGGCCGCTGGACGCAGCCTATCTTCCACGTGCGTTCTTCTTCCAGTGGTTGATCAGGTGGATTCTGATACTCATACAGATCGACATGGCACAAAGTTACCAGAACTTCTTCCCAGACGGGGCATCGGGCGGCCCATGGTATACTGTCCCCGTCCACCGCGTTTATGATTCTCACTCACTTCAACAGAGACACACCTCCTGGAGAACATCCGCAAACTCCAGGCCGACGACATCGCGTTGAAAAACAACAGGGTTTTCATACCCGCGGACTCGAACACGCCGGTACTCCACCCGAATGAAGATGCGCCGAGGTTAGAGGTCCCCGAGGTTCGCGTACAACCACCTGCATCGTCCGAGGAGGGGTCGGAATCCAGCTCACCTGTCCGAGAGCTGCACCAGATGCAGCGCCTCAACGAAGCAGCAAGCCGCTCGGAAGTCGCTGCAGCGATGCAGTCAGAGGCACGTTCCCGCCCGGCTCACTGGTACGCCCACCTACAGAACGTCCGTGACCTTCCCACATCTACCAAACATGCGTTCACACCTTCCCACAGACGGCGCCAAGGGAGAACGCCTTCGCGCCGACGTTGCTCAACCCAGGTGATGACGAACCGGTATGCTGCCCTCTTTCCTCGCGCTGATCAAACTGACATCGGTGCAGAATCCCTTTGGTCTAGGTGACCTCGATCGCGAGCTTGACGAGCGCGCGTCTTTCCTCGCGGTACGAGAACTCATTCTGGCCGGGGACCCGGCGACGATGGACTTCCTTCGCGACCCGGTGAGATAGTGTCTTGACGATGATGTCGCGCTCCCGCTCATTTTTCAATAGCTTCCGAGCCCGGCAGTGGCGCCCCGCCGTCCGCTCGCACCGCGTATGCTCAACCTCACGGACGTGCTCGATCTCCCCCAGGTGTGTTTGCGCTCGCTCGACCGTGTGTGGTGTGCTAATGCTCAACCGGCAGGAGTTCGAGTTCAAGGCCCACGTGAGGGCGTCGACGGGTCCCGCCAGCCTCCGCTACCTTTGAGATGCCTCCGAGTCATATCGTGTTCTTTTTCTCTCTACAAATCATCAATCATCCATAGAGGTAAATTAAATGTAGCTCTAGTTGTACAAAGTCAATTATTTCCGAAGAGTACAAGTATAATACCGCGGCATCATCCATGTATGAAATTAATAAATCGGGGACTCTGGATAATTGATAAGTAAATCTGTAATTTGGCACCGAAAAGAGATGGAAACGCTAGCTACGTACACTTTAATAGATCGCTGAAAAGGCAGGAGTCGGCACACCGAAGTTCAACATCGCCGAGATGGCCACATCTCTGTGCCGCCTCCCTCCGACTGGCTAATCACCAGATGGCATCACGAAAAAAAGCTTAAATTCCTAAGTCCACGCAGGGTTTCGGGTTTCACACGACCATAGTCTCCCCGTCCCGAAGGTCGTCAGGGTAGGCAAAAAATGTCAGTGTATCCCGGTATGTGGTAGAGAAAAGAAAAGTGTACTCACCAAGTAAAATGAAGGGTATTGACCTGTAGAGTGGTTAGTGAGGTCTAAATGTGATAAGGGCACGCACCGAAGAAAGCTGCAAGTCAGTAAGAACTACGCTAGGGTTACAAATGGTCTATGTACGGTGATCCTGCAAAGTGAGAGTCAGCGCAAGTCATAAAAATTACAAAGTTCAACTCACCGGGCTCGCCCGAGAACCCCGAGACAACGCCGTAGTTCAAATCCTAGCAGAAATCTGAAGGGTGAGGAAGGGATTCAAGGCATATGGGTTGCAACATACATCTGTGGAAGGGCAAGTATAACTCGGAACTAATTGTCAATGCAAGTCAAATCAAGTTGCGGCACAGAGTATAATTGAACATACAGTCAAAAGATAAGTGATGTTGGAAATTGAATGTACGGTCGTTGTTCAAGGTCTACGTGTTGTTATCGACAATAAAGCAAGTGAAAAGGTATCTTAAAAACTCACCTTTGAAATAATTCAACCTCACGGCACCGACACGTTATTGAACATTGGCGGCAGCTATTGATCATCGGCGGCGCGTTATTGAACGCCACAAATGATATTGTTGAAGCACTACTGAATAGTGTGTGACACGGGTAACCCGCGGGTAGATTCGGACGGCACCGTAACCGCACCCGGGAATACCAATACCCGGGGCCGGCGGGTACGGTACACCGGCTCATGTACCGCGGTGTGACGTAAAAACCCTGAGGGTACAAAACCGCGGTTTACTACCGCGGTGTTAGATAGATTTTGCTCCCATTTTCCAAAGTAAAAAACCGAGGGTAAATAACCGGGTTTATTCCCGCGGTGTTGGATGCTTTTTGGGCTCATTTTTTCAAAGTAAAGATACGTCGGGACTGGAAGTTGATAGAATTCCCACTACTGTATATCAGTAGCCTACTGTATCCGTCCAAGCTTTCCAATCTTCACACTTTCAATCTCAAATACTACAGTTGTCAGCCTGCCAGAGCATCGGTGAAATGCGCGGCCAGTGCGAAGACTTCAAGAAACCTTGTTGCCGCAACCCGGGGCGAGCTCGAACGGGACCAGACGACGGCGCCGGCGAGCAGACGAAGGCAGTGAGCTGGAACGGGCCCATGAGCCATGATGACGAGCTCGAACGGGTTGCGGAGCGGTGATGTGCGCCGAAGATGATGGCAGCGCGGGATGAGGAGGTAGAGCTGACTGTCGAGGGCGAGGCAGAGTTGGAGCGGGCTGCAGAGGAAGCCAAGCTCGAGCGTGCGGGAATGAAGCGGAGCTCTTCAGGTCAGCGCTCGAGCTAGGACGAGCTGAGGATGCGGAGCCCGAGTGGATCGAACTGCTGGCGGCGCCGGCGCGAGGACGACGACGAGGAACGGTCCGTCGACGAGACTGTCGAGCTCGAGGGAACCGAGGTCGAGCTGCTCGGGCGAACCTGCAGAGGCAAAGCCGATGAGGACCGGGGCACTGACGCAGACGAAGAGCGCGACACAGACGATGAAACTGGACCGAAGAAATCAGATGAAGAAACAAGTATATTCGAGAGAAGACATTAACCTGCCGAGCTGCTAGCGCAAAGACAAAGACGACGGTCGCCCGCTGCTGGCCGACGACACAGAGCTGCTGCGAACGCTGCTCGAACGCGAGGCAGATGCTGAGCACGAGCACCTGGAGGAGACCGAAGCAGCGCGGGGTCTCGTTCACATGCTCCGATTTTCCCCGGCCTCGCCCTGCCCTCCCCACGGGAACGCCCCCTGAAAGGGTCAAAGCAGCGCTCGCCGGTGCGTCCTGCTTCACATGCGGCTCGATGCACAGGAGCTTGAGCACTGTGCGCAGCGCCGCGGCGCGGTCGCCGTCGACGTACGCCTGGTTGACCGTTGCCGGTGCCGATGAGAATTTTGGTGTGGAAGGAGAGGAGGGCGCCAGAGACGTCCTGTGGAAGGTGAGCGTTGAGTGTGTGATGGAGAGAATGAAGAGCGGGTAGATGGAGGAAAAGAAAGAAATACTCACTCTTCCGTTCATGCCCTTGCACCCGAGCTACTGACACGCGATGCCGACGAGGTGTGCACGCTGCTGGACGACGAACGAGACACCGACGCAGATGCTTGCCCGAAACGCTGTTTTGCTCAAGTAGGTTGTTCGCCCACGGAGGTCGTTGATGGGGTAGCCAAGCAGACTATATCCTGGTATGATCCAAGGCGGCGCCAAGGGCACGCACACAGCAACCAATTGGGCCGAAAGGCCACAGAGCTTCCCCAAGCGTGGTTGGAATGGTATTTGTCCGGCGTCAACTTGGATGGAGGACGGTTTGACCGGGTGCGCACATGTGGGAGAGCTGGAGGAAACCGGTGAGGGCGGGGTTACCCGCTCAATTCTTCGCGGGCCCGTTATCAAGCGGAGCGTCGCTATATATCGTCGAGCTCATCGAGCAGCACGTCAAGCTGCGTCCGTATCCTGAAACGCATCCGCAATGCGCGTCAGCCGCGGGTCATCGTACGTCTTCCCCGGCGCCGAGCGCGTCGAGCGCAGGAGCAGCTCCACGCGCCGAATCGCACCTCCCGCAAGATACATTTCTGCCGCCCGCACATTCGCCGGCTCAATGCGCATCACGAGACTCAGCAATGCCGCGAGTAGCGCGTAGATGCGGTTTTTG